CGTATTTTGGTGAAAAATACGTGGATATTCCAAAAATATTCGAAAAGTTGATTCTTAACCCCGTAAAGTAAAAAAAAACCCATAAAATGGATACAATTTCTAAACGACCATAACTCTTATAATAGTGAATATATTTCATTGAAATTTTGGGAGGAACTAAAGTTCATGGATACCTACAAAAAAGTATTAGACAATATTTTCGTACAGCGTCAAACAAAATTATTAAAAATCAAAAACGAATTTTTAAAAAAATCGACAAGGGTGCTAAGTTTTTCGCGGACAAAAAAAAATTTCAAATCGTTCTGAAAAAAGTATTTTTGGTTACGGTGGTCAATTACAATCATTTTTGGTGAATATACGTACCCCCGAAATTCTACGTACGTTCGAGAAAAAAATTCAAGTGGGTGGACAAATTACCGTTCTACATGCGGAACTTTAAATGTTAATAACTTTTTAACGAAGCCTCAATCAACATATTGGTATTCTTGATTTTCGTCTTCTTTTGTCGACTAGAATCTTCCATTAAAATTTTTCCCAGGTGGCCGAACACCTTGTATATTAAACAAACATGTTACATGTACTCTCTGTCTGTAGAACAAGAAGAATAAAGAATATCAAATAAACAGAAGAAATGTTTATATTGTTTATATAAATATGGAGAAAAATGAACAAAATGACAGAAATGGACTAGTATTTATACAGTTCTATTGCCATTATCAAGTGTACAAGTAATTTAAACATTTGTAATAAAAATAACAAATAATTGTAAAATTAATATTTATAATTAGTATTTAGTAGGGTTTCCCTTTGATTTTATTATTGCATTAGCCTTCTAGGTATTGAATTAATTAAATTAGATATAATTTTATTAGTCATATTATTTCATACATTGATTAAAGCATTTTTTATGCCTGTTTTAAATGAAATTGTATGTTTTTGTGATATTTATATAACCAATATAAATATTTTTTCGTTTATTTGATATTGTTGTTCTACAAACTTTGGAGTGTACATGTAATATGTTTGTTTAATAAACATCGATGTTTATTCGACGTTTTAGGATCGTTATTCAGCATTTTAGTCGTAAATAGTCACTATATGAATACTTTTTACTGTATTACAGTTGCAAACAGAAAATAGAATTATAAAATGTACTGTTCACGGTTTTTTTTCATAAATAAATAAAAACAGTTTCTGATTCGATGCTTGTTCAATAAAAATTACAATTCGAAGCGTGCAATCAAATTTCGTTTCGTATCGAGCGTACAATAAACGTGACGACTAAATCGTTACACGGAGCTTTTATTTGTCATCCGTTGAACGAATAAAATTCTGTTAAATTAATTTATATGTAGAATCGTTCCAATATTCGATGAACGCGTGTGACAAATTTTGAAGTAATTAATCGAGCGACTGCGTTTGTTTCTAAATTCCACGGAAGCACCCTTTCCGGAGAATTCATACGACTGCCCTTAATTATATTGCCTGGGATTCTCTGGACGCCGGGTGGAACCGGTAACGGCTCATTTCGGGTAAAATTGAGCCACGTTGCTCGCTACGTTCGGTTGCCAAATGTCTTCGGACGTTTATAACGCCACGGTCCAGGAAATAAATTTGACCGTCGCGGAGGCTTCCAGGTAATTTCCGTCGTAACGAGCGGTAAAACAATGTTACTGATTTCTCGAGTCGCGTTTTTCACGCGTAATTTTACATTGACGCGGCCGCCTTCTTCCGGAATATTCAGACTTTTAATCGATATTCGAAATTTAACGGTAGTTACACTGGTTAGATTGTTCATCTCATGGGTATTCATAAGATATTACAACGTTCAATATTCATAAGCTACGGGATACTTTAAACGGGACGGGCTGAAATCAGACCGGCAACCGTAAAGAAATAAAACTACGGAGACGTCGGTCGTCCGTCTACGAAGCCCTTCTTTAAACAGAACGCGTTTCGCGTAGCAGATTTCGCATTAATCACAGGGAATTCGTTAAACGATCATTAAAGTTAAACGAAATATTTCTGTCGGTTGTTTTTCTCGAATAACCTTTGATTTTTATAAATTTATCATCAATTTCGAACTGTTTCAAGATTTAACAAACCTCTGTAAATATTTTTAACGATTCTATAAATAAAGTGTTCTTTCCGCAAATGTTAACAATTCAAACAGAAGTCAGAAATAATTATCGAAGAAGTTCTTCCAACAACTCGTCGTATAAGAAAATTTAAATCGACCTTTAGAAACATAAAATCGTACATTAAATATTGAGTCAGCGCTTCGTATCGTTAAATAAATATTCAAGCTTATCGAATTAACTTTGTGTATTAATGAGAAGAATGTATTACAAACTGAAATAACAGAGGATTAAAGGTAGAATAAAATTTTTCAGCATTCAGTGAGCAGTAATGCTTCCAATCTGGTATCATGTTTTTACAAGAAACTATGATTTTCTTGTTAAACTCCAAACGTATATCGTGTGTCTACAACATACGTAACTCCAAATAGAATTTCGTCGCGAAAACTGATCCTTCGTTGAAAATCGAATGAGATTAGTATCGGTGAAACGGTAAGAATAGTGCTGGGCGTTTCGTTTCACCTCATGAATCTACGAAAATAGGAAAAGACTATTGAACCAGGGCTGAAGTATTTACCGAGAACTGTAAAAGAAGCTGAGGACGGAGCCAGCTTCTGTTGATACCTTTGAACTTCGACTTATTTGCAATCGATACATGCAAACCCCTAACTTGCAATCTAATTTGCGTTCAAAGAGATATACTTTACATTTTAGTTTTACTTTTACTAAATTTTCTGTTTCACTATGATGAATTAAATTATTATTTTCCTCTAACTTTTATAAGGAATAAACATTCATTTTAAATAAACATAATTTAGCCCCATAATGCGGGCCAAAAATAAAAGAGTCGTTTCATTATTTTGGAACTTGATCTGCAGAATTCTTTTTACCACGAAATCTTAGATAAACATTTTTTGTACGTACGTTTCTAATTATCAGAGCTAGTCTCGCACTTAGCGTTACCCAGAACTAACGACGAGGAAGTGGCGAGGTTTTAGTTTACTATTTTTACCTTATTTTCTTTCATGTTGTGCTTTAGAAATTTTCTGATCTCATATTTGAATTTAGCGACGCCGAAAAGCTCCTAGATCATCGTTTAAAAACACAGTTAAATTATTTATTTGCATAGGAAGGTTAAAACGTGAACGAAAATGTAAAATAAATGGCTAAATTGTTAGGAACTATTTTGCATCGTTCGTTCCAAACGTATCAGCACTGCAGAAGAAAGATGAAATGTAATTAGCCCAGCCTTGTAATAGACATCTTATTAATTAACTCCGGTTTATAATGAATTCGACACCAAGAGAACGGAAGAAGTGATACTTGATAAGCACATTTCTAATTACAAAGAAAAATTACAGCGTCGCCAGGTAATAAGGAAATAAAATTCATAAAAAGAGAGGGGAACCGGCGACAGGCACATCAGAAGCGGAGCTTTCTATTAGATTGAATAAAAGATGTTCAACAAAGGACAATTTTGCCTTGTAAGGGGGTCTCAAAGTAGCAGCCATTTAACTACGATAACTCTTTATCTTTATTATTTAACCTGTACAGCGAGTTTCTTGCTTCAACGTTTCGAGTTAATACAATGGAATCTTAATTATCTGTTTTCTCGAACAAAGGAAATATAATCTTAATTTCGAAACGTTCCCGATAAAGTAACAAAACATTATTTTTGCATTAAATACTCGTATACCTTTAGTCCATCCCTTTGTGCTCGACAATCTATTATAAACAAAATATCTAGATCGACTCGCCTTTAACGAATAACAAAAAATTAATTTACTCTACAAATTTTAATACAATACTAGCAATAAAACCGTAGCAGATGAATTTTTGTGGCTTCGTTTATAGGAAATTGAACTATCGAAATAAATAATCCCAGATTCGAAAATCTGGACGATAATTTGAATCAATATCTCTAACAAGGAATGTTCTTTAGGTGTCCGCCTCCGATTGTTCTGATTTTTGGATATGTTTTAAAGGAGCAATAAATAAGATATACGTACTTTTGGGATGTAAATTGCGATTGCTTTTAAAATAATGTTATAAACAAATTTTTTGTTACAAAAATATTTATTTTTTACAACGTTTATGACCAGCGTTTATATGCACATAAAAAACTATGAAACTTTTCCTCAAGAAGTTATTTTCTATCTATGATAGTTTTTATGATAGCCTATTGTAACTGAAAGTTTAGGGGGTCGTTTTAACCCCTAAATGTGAAAACGGGCCCATATAAAAAAATACGTTTATCTTATTTTTTGTTCCTTTAAAACATATCCAAAATTCAGAACAATTGGAGCCGGACACCTAAAAAACATTCCTTGTAAGAGTTTGTTTGTAGGGAACTGAACTATCGAAATAAATAATCCCAGATTCGAAAATCTGGACGATAATTTGAATCAATATCTCTAAGTGTGCAGCTGCGTGGCCGCGATAGAAGCGAAAGGATTAAACCGCGCGGAACTGTTTTCCCGCAGCCTGTGTACGGAAAAATGAAACTAGAGACCAATCGAACCGATTAACCTTCCCTCTAATTTCACGGCAGCACTTTCGAACGAGCAATTCCCCCGAATCGATCAGCAGCCGATCCGAGAACCAAACCGTAAAACGCAAACGTAAGTATAACCGTCGCCGGAATCAGTGTCGTCGTGGGCGTAATACCGAAATCCATTCCGGCCAGTTAAAGGGGACCAAGTAACGCGAAGTAATTCGTTCATGGATAAAGGGGATCACCGAGCATTGACAATTCAGTGGATTCGCCGTTGAATCTCTGCCCCGGCTCGAATGTGCACCGTTGACGAGGTTTTAATTATGCTAATTACTCGAACGAGCCCGGTATAAGCGGCAGCCAGGCGGTGTATCGTCGTGGGAAATGGCTGAAGTACGCGGAGCGCGTTAAAATAGATATTTACTGACCTGGATCTCGCCATTCCTCGACATCGTAGTCGATAGGTCGTTGTCGTAATTTCTTGTTACCGTTTCTACCTAAAATACATTACACAAAGGCGGTTTTACATGGCTGCACTTTGCTGGCGTCACGTCGCGGCTAGGACGGTAGCCCGGGAATGGATGTCCTTGCCACGAAGAAAAAAGGACCAACGAACGAATGCGCCGCGATCGCAGGACGGGGCGGCTGCTTTGCTTGCAAATTAATGGCAGGTATTCCACCTAATTCCGCGTTCGTTCGCGGGAAATTTCGACGGTATCGTTGCTTCAGCCCGTTAATTTGTATTATTGCTTCGTTGCTCGTCGCTGACTACCAAGACTATTCAACCGATGATACGAGGGTCGTCTGAAAAGATTTGAGCCTCGATATGAAGCTGGCGTTTCTCGTCAAAACCATTGTGGTAGTACAATGGTATATGCTTTGATGAATGTCTGTGAAAATTTCAGCAATTTTGGACGCTCAATTGTTGTTTGGGAGTCGTTTGTGTCAAACGATGTCAGTATTTTTGTAAAGATGGACCAGCTCACACTTCGGCGATCGCCATGACCAAAATTCACGAATTGCGTTTCAAATTGATTGGCCACTCACGATATTCACCAGATCTGGCCTCCAGCGACCTTTTCCAATTTTGTAAGCTCAAAATATCGCTTGGAGGACAGAGATTTCCATTGAACGAGGAGTAAATACCTACTTTGCAGGGCAAGACACCAACTACTATTTGGAAGGGTTAAAAGGATTACAACATCGCTGGGGAAAGTGTATTAACTTAAGAGGAGACTATGTTGAAAAATAAAGCTATATTTAACTGGAAAAATACTTGTTTCTATGTTAGACTCAAAATTTTTCAGACGACCCTCGTAAAATCGCATATTCGACCGTGGCTCCCGAGAGTTTATGTTGAGAATAAGCATTGCATGGATGTGCAGAGTGGGGCAAAAGTCGCGAAGCGATTGAAAAAATTCGTAATTCCTTTAATTTATATTTTTTTCTTTGCAGAATTTTTAAACTATACCTGGAAGATGTACAGTGTTATTCAACTTACCAAAATTATTGAGTTTTTAGAGTTTTTCAAAGAGCTTATTCATTTTAGCTCGTTTTAATGTGCGAAATCCACCTTCTAAATCAATAATTCAACGTTTGGTCAAACGTTCTCTGCAGCGTGGCGGGGTATGTGACCTTCCAAGGTCCGGGAGACCACCTTCAGAATCAATTTGAATATTGAACGTGTTCAGCAGAGTATTCAGGCAAATCTAGGAACATCGACACGAAGGCATTCTGATGAATTAGGACTTTCTACGAGATCATTGAGAAGGATATTAAGAGAAGATTTACTGATGTTTCCGTGTAAAGTGCATTTAGTTCAAGAATTGAAGTTAACAGATCATGATTTCATTCATCACTTGATAATGAGCGATGAAGCTCATTTCCATTTCAATGATTTTGTAAACAGACAAAACTGCAGAGTATGGGGTACTGAAAATCCAAGGGTGGCCCATTAGCGCCAATTACACCCCATTAAATGTACGGTCTGGTGTGGTGTCACATCGCAACAAATTATTGGGATATACAGTCGCGTCGGTATTTATGTTGACGCTGTTGTATTTCTGGTATTGACGATATTGTTCCATAATTTAAACACTTGTACGCGTCCTTCCGTACATTCTGACATTGTTTACATTATGCACAAGAAATGCCTCAGTATACCAGTGAGTGTCAAAGCGAAAACACCGCGTACAATCAAATAACAGTCAATCTGTAAAAATATTTCCTAAATTTGGTTCGCCGGAAAGTAAGTTGACGTAATCAAGTTTTTATTTCATTAATAAAATTTTGCTATTAAACGCGCATTTAATAATTTGATAATGTATTTAGTCTCTTATATAATGTTTTTTTTTTGTTATGTATTGTTATTGTTAAGAATTGGTTACTTGTAGCATGCCGAAAATACGGGAATTACACGAGTCTGAAAGATTATTAATTTATAAAAGGAGAGAAGGCCAAAGTTTGCAACAGATTGCCACAGATTTTGGGATATCAAAGGAAGGGGTGCGAAAAATTTATAAAAAGATAGAGACTACTGGGAAACCTGAAAATTTAGTTAGAACGGGAAGAAAAAGAAAAACAACTCCCCGTCAGGATCGAGAAATTGTTAAAATAACAAAAAAGGAACTATTTATTACTGCCAAACAGATCAAAGAAGATTTAAATTTGCCAATAGGGACCACTCAAATAAAATCCCGTTTATACGAAGCTGGGTTGCATGGTCGAATATCTAGGAAGAAGCCACACATTTCCGAAACAAATGCTCGCAAACGTTTAAATTTTGCAAAAGAGCATTTTAATAAACCGACTGCATTCTGGGAATCCATAATTTGGAGTGATGAGTCAAAATTTGAATTACAATCAAACAAACGAAGGAAATATGTGTGGAGAAAAAAAGGAGAAGCTTTTAAACAAAATGTTATCACCTCCACCGTGAAACACGGTGGAGGGTCTATAATGTTATGGGGCTGCTTCAACAATGAAAATGTAGGAAAATTAACAGTTATTGATGGTATATTAACAGCAGCGAAATACATCGATATTCTAAAAGAAAATTTGTTTCCATCAATTCAAAAATTTGGGCCAGATACAGGATACATATTCCAACACGATAACGATCCGAAACATACTGCAAAGATCGTTAAAAAATTTATCGACGAAAACAATATATTGCTGCTTTCTTGGCCACCGCAGAGCCCTGATTTAAATCCGATTGAGCACTTATGGGACGAACTCGATCGAAAAATATCAAAATCGGACCGCTATACAAAACCAAAATTGATAGCCGCACTAAAAAAGGCATGGGATGAAATACAGCCCAAAACGTTAAAAAAATTAATACACAGTATGCCAAATCGTTTACTGGAAGTAATTAAAGCCAAAGGGTATCAAACTGCTTATTAAATATTTTTTTTACTGTTACTTATAGAATTATAATTTACTTTATAACCATTGTCAACTTACTTTCCGATAGACGTTCATTAGAAAATATTTGTTAATGCTATTGTTACTCAAATGAACATAATTAATAAGGTGACATTATTTACTTAAGACACGAATAAATTTATTTTTGTAAACATTTCGTATTTTATTTATTTTTATTGTATCCTTTTACGGCTATTTTATAAAAATGATAAGTGTCAACTTAAATACCGACGCGACTGTACTTCTTCGAAGACAACAATGGCGATGCGGTATCAGTAACTGGTGACCGATATCGCCAAGTGCTGAAAAATTTTTTAAGACCAGCTATCGAAGATAATCCTAAAATGTGGTTCCAACAGGACAGTGCCACTGCACACACTGCCCGAGCCACCATGGATATTTTAAGACGGATTTTTGGTCAACGGCTAATTTCACGAAATTCAGGATTTAACTGGCCTTCGCGCTAGCCTGATTTAACGGCTCAGGATTTTTTCCTTTGGGGATACCTTAAGGAAAAAGTGTACGCTAATAAGCCAAGGACCCTTGAACAGCTGAAGGAAAACATTCGAATCGAAATACGGAACTTAATGTCAGATACTCTCACAAAAGTCATGGAAAATGTTTTTAAAAGAGCCCAACTTTGTGAAGCCAAAAATGGCGAGCACCTACGTGACATAATCTTTCATACTTAGCTTAAAAAAATCTTCGTGAATTATATTTTATTATTTTGAAAAGAAATAAATTTTAAGTCAGATATTTTTTAAATTATTCTCTTTTTAAATTAATTCGCGACTTCTGCCCCACCCTGTATATTTAATGAAAATTTGTATCCATTGATGCAGTCCCCTCTCTTGCAAAGGTCAGTACTACCTGAGGAGGACACTTATTACACCCTCTGAGCGTCTCGTTCCGCTTTTTCCGAGTCTCAAACTCAGTTAGCAGAAAACCATCAAGCTAAGAACAACATTTTCGTTTCGTAAAACTACATTAATTAAATACATACTTAGGTCGAAACTCTGTTGTATTTATTTACCAAATAAATATTCAACAGTTTGTCACAAACTCTATGTTTTTTGGTCGAATAACTCTAAATGTAGGAAACTGTTCGTAAATACTTTTGATTAAAATCTGTTTATCTTTATTATTAATTGAATAATCTTGTTAGTGAGAGCAAGATTAACGCGGCGGAATTAGGAAGGAAACCCAAAGAAATGAAAGTCAGTTACCGGTTTTCTTCATGGATGAAGTGACATGGTATGGCGGTGGCGTGGTGGACGTCGTCGACGGGACTGGAATCTCTGAAAGTAAACAATACATGTCTTTGATAACGAGAAACTTAAATCTAATTTCATTACCTTTCGAAACAATGACAAAACCCACTTATTCTACGTTATAACAGATGCTTTATTGTTCGAACGTTCTGTTATTCAATAAGTAGTTCTTGCAAATCTATTCCACCGTGAAAACATTCTATAAAAATGAACTAACTAATAATAAGATACTCTTGGACTATCTCAATCCTTGTATGAAACTTCAATTATTGGACTCCATCTTACTTCGTTGCTTAAAAAAGAACGGATTCTTCAGCAACCCATTTAACAGAGAATATTAATGCTGGATAAAGGAATTTTAGGGTAGTAGTATCGTATTCCCCTCTTGATCGTTTTATATTTCAAGGAAAATAGAAACATCTTTCCATCTTTGATCGTTCTATATTTCGAGTAAAATGACATAAATGTCAATACTGAAAATGAAAAGAAAATATACAGACACAAAAATATCCGTATTTGTAGATATCAGTAGCAGTGAAAGCATTTTCCAATATGAAGGCTGCAGTAATATTTTACAGGAAATAAGAAATGATAAATTGAGTAAATAAAGGTATTGAGAATTCAGACGTAGAGAAGTAATAATTTTGTATTCGATCCTGCCTTTCTCTTAAAATATACTTACGAAACCCTGTGTTGACAAATTTAACGATAATTCCAACGATAATCCTTTCATTCCCATTATAGGTACTTACGTCATTTCACTCGAAGTATAGGATGATCAAAGAGAGAGGCGAGAGTTCTATTATCCTAAAATGCTTTCATCCGAACAATCGTGTCGACCTATTACGATGGTTGCCAAAGGACCTACTATATTGTTTTTTAAACAAAGAGGAATTAAGACCAGGTACAATAATTAAACTCTCATACAAGAACCGACGTGGTTCAAGTTACCAGTCAGCGAAGCTAAATATTTGATAATGCCTACAGCGTTTACCAAATTAAGACGATGATAATCTCATTTACAAGAGAAGAATTGTAATAAGTTAAAGAAATATACGTATTTGCCTGATTATAGATAATTTATAAAAGTAACTATGACTATAAAACCTGTGACGATTTGCAAAAGAAAAATTGTTTTCGCTAGAATTCCACCAGAATCCAGAGCACTTAACAATTATAGCCACACGTATTGCTTCTAAATTGAACGTTCCAAAGTTCGTCAACTGCACCACTTAAGAAAATGAATTGTGCCTGAATGCACAATAGTTTTCACAGAATATATTATCGAGTTGGGGAAATTTGAGACTGAACTTTCGTCAGCGTTCGTTTCGCAACGATCGGTCGACCGATAATATTAAACTTTTAATTTCAGCCAATTTATTCGTCCAAGGAGGTGGAATGGTATACTCTCCTGGGATAAATATATCCTTCGCAAATTTAATCGCCAATTACGAACAACATTGAAACGGTAAGGCCGTTTGAGCCCGTCCATCGATCGATGCTCGTCGACTGTTAAGAGTCTTTGCGTAAAAGTTCATCGGGAATCAATTACTTTGTCGTTAGGGCGTAAATACGAACACAATTATTCCAATTATTCCTGATGTCGCTGTTCCGCCTTGGGAGTTTTCATTTTTCCCGATGTGTGTAACTTACACGATCGTAACTTTCGGAACGTTTGTAACATTTGTATTTTATACATCGTGCAAAAAATAATACGAAAGAACTAAATCTGTAATTTGCTTATCGTGTTTGTTTGCATTTTGACAAACAGTTTTAAATATAACTCTTTGCATTCTATCCTTTTGCTAGGTATTTTTAAACTTTTAGTATTGCGTACGATTCGTAATTTAAAAGATGCTATGAATTGAAAAGCTCACCATCCAATTTTATGTAACCGTCCGTTCCACCAAGAGAATTTTGCGCGACGCATTTGTAAGAGCCAAAGTCCTTTGGTCCGACATTTCTGATCTTCAGCATCATATATTTGTTGTAGCTATTGTCGGAGTAAACCGCCTCGTACTTGTCGCCTGCAATGGAATGGTAATTGCCTAGGCAAATAAAACTATATTTTTCGAAATTCAATGGTTAATTCACATGAGTTGGATTGCTTCATTCAAATATACAGGGTGTTCGGCCACCCCTAGGAAAAATGTTAATGGAAGATTCTAAAGGCCAAAATAAGACGGAAATCAAGACACCAATTTGTTGATGAAGGCTTCATTAAAAAGTTATTAACGTTCGAACTTCCGCCCGTGCTGAATTTTTTTCTAGAAAGTGGGTAGGATTTCGGAACTAAGTCTATTCGCCAAAAATGACTGTAATTGACCCCCGCAACCGAAAATAATTTTTCCAGAATGGTGTGAAATTTCTTTTTTTCGCCGAAAAATTTCACATCTAGAATTTTTTTCTAAAAAATGGATAGGATTTCGGGGGTATGTCTATTGACTAAAAATGATTGCAATTGACCCTTGCAACCAGAAATAATTTTTTCAGAACGATTAAAAATATTTTTTTCGTCGAAAAATTTAGTCACCTACCCCCAGTCGATTTTTCTTAAAAATTCGTTTTTCATTTTTAATCAATTTTGCTTTTTCTTGCATTTTTAGAATTTCTAAATATTCTTCACCAAAATACTCGTTGTTTCCATTTTGAAACATTAAAATCCTCGAATCCGTTTAGGAGTTATGATGTTTTGAACATACACATGAAATTTCAGTAGAACATTTCCGTTCTGATCAGACATTGTATTTTTGGTAAAAAATTTTTTTCTCGAAAGTGAGTAAAATTTCGAGGATATGTCTATTCCCCAAAAACGATTGTAATCGACCCCTACAACTCAAAATATTTTTTCCAGAATGATTTGAAACTTTTTAATTTAATTTTTTAATAACTTTTTAAGGAAGCCTCAATCAAGAAATTGATATTCTTGATTTTCGTCTTATTTTGGCCTCTAGAATCTCCTATTAAAATTTTTTCCTAGGGGTGGCTGAACACTCTGTATATTTTTTACTAGTCAGGAAAGTTGAAATTGTGCTAACAAAGTTTCTGATTTAATGGAAAAGAATTTAAGTTCAATTTAGTTTCTACACTGTTAAGAGTTTTTAATTGTATATCCATCTTTAATTTATAAAAGGAAATCAAGACTCTAGAAGAGTATAATTTTATGAAGCTTAAAATTACCAGAGACTATCATGTCGCCGTGTTCGGTTGTCCAATAATTGATCGAGGTAGGGTAGGCTTCGGTGTGACATTCCAACGTGACGTCTTGTCCAATATACGCTCCCTCCAACTGGCTTGGTATCGAAAGCATCGGGGGAACTGTAACACAAGAAATACAGACATGACGCGATTAATAAAAACGACCTGCTTCAATTTGCAGTACGACAGTAATTATTGTAATACGCCATTGTTATACAAACTTCATTACTTGCAATTTAAATATGTAGGTACTTTTAATGCCAAACTCTAAGAATGGAGGAATGTTAAAATTCAAGGTGCCAAAGAAAATTTTTTATACGGAACAATGTACTATATCTTCTTTTATGCCATTTAAAATTGATTATCTTCTTTTGTAAGAGGGACACCTATCAACAAGTTTGGTAACAATCGCAATAAAGAGTTAATTCAGCCATCAGAATGAAACCTTTTGGTTGTGCTCCGTCATTTTAACTGTCTGCGTTTTAATTTTACTTAAATGCCACGTTGGATGTCAGAGGGAAGATTCTTCTTTTATTAGAAAATTCACTTATCGAGCAAATAATGTCTTCTTAAAAGTTCGAAGACAACAGGCTTCATTCTTCTTATACGAATATAAAAGATACCGTTCGCGCGTTGATTAATTTGAATTATAATCATGATTAATTATCCTCAGCGGGAGAGCCACGCATTCGGTTCAATGTTCACGAAACCGAACCATTGTTCCCAGTTTCTTTCAGAAAGTATTATTTACCGCTCCCTGCGGCACAATCGCTTTTCTTGATCGCGTAATTAATTTCTTTAAGTAGAAAGTGTATAAAATGAAAGGTGAATAGATTAAGGTCGTAACGCCAGAAAAGTTCCTCCATTCTTTGTTGCATTTTTCATCTATATGGGTGTTTGTCGGTGGATTCGTCAAAATTGACGCTTTTATATTATTTATTCTTCGGTTAATAATGTTTTATAACTACGGTCATCATAATTTCGTTATACGAAAGGGCTATAATGTTTTTTGGAGACTCAGAACTGAATTTGACTGGCGCGCCTGACCAATATCCGATATTTCTACTTGCACTGATTTCCAAGTTATTGCACGCGGTTCAGATCAATTTTTAAGATCGATTTTCTTGAAAATGAAGCACTATACAAATCATTTCACAAATTGCAAACATGGTTCAAAATTTAAATTCTCATTTTCTTTGCCCATGTAGTAGGATTTCTTATTTCTGACTTTCTCCATTCTGATTTTCCATTCTCTGCTTTAATTTGCATTAAAGAATGAGTCGAAAATGCAAGAAAAAATTCTTTGAATAATACTTAGTTTTCGAGAAATTCGACTTGGAATATTTATTGACGTGGATATCAGCGCAAGTAGAAATAGCAAATAATAGTCAGACGCCGAAGAAATCTTCAAATTCAATTTTCTCGAAAATGCAGGATTATACGAAGGAACTTTATTCTACATTTTCAACTTATTTATGCATATACAACATCTCTTGGCCAACTGCGTCACCTGTCCTGGGACACTTTGTATATACACTACATGTTCTATAATCTTATGGCGAAGAAAAAATATTTAATCGATGTTACGAAACTTCATACATATTAAAGTGCTGTAGTAAATATTTTTTATTTCGCAGAAAACTTGCTCAACATTTTTCATGTATCCTTTAACCTCTTCAGAAACAAATTACCTGGTTCAAAGGAGACTAAACTTCTAACAAACGTTGACCCACGAGACTATTAATATCATAAAATTTTAACGACGTCACGTGATTGGGAAATTCGCGCGGACAAAAATTCAAGTAAAACATTCAATATATTTTCATTGTATCGTATCTACTGCTGCTGAACTTTCTTCCTCTTCGCAATATCTTAGGGTTAGGTTGTAAAATAGTTCGCTGAACCTCACCCTTTTATCATGCTTTCTCCACTATGTGCCACGTCTTCGTGTACTCGCAAACGTATTTCTTTTTCATTATGGCGAACAAAGTCGTCGAATAAAAGTAGTAAAATAAAAATAATCCTCGTACTTCGGCCGGGAGTTTCCCCGAAAAATTCCAATTACGAAGCCCGGCTATTCTCGATGATTTACGTTCCACGAAAATTTTCGGGGAGTGCGGGTCTTTCTTTTATTCAACCCTCCGTCCTATATGCACTAAAAATAAAGGCGTTTCATAAACGCGCCTTTGTACCGCTTAATTTTCTCCATTTTTCCGCGGGCTGTATGAAGTTTCCATACACTTGAAAGTTCGGTGGCGCGACTTAGGGAATGCAGGACTCCCTTAGAGCGAAAACATCCCTCTCAAAGTTTTCGGTTGTTATACGCGCACCGGCGGCATGTAGCGGGCTCCCAACGATCGATATAGGTATTCTGTAGCCGCAATATCATGTCATAGTTCCGTCTTTTACGAACCAACGTAAATCACGATTTACTGCTGCTGTATACGCTTGAGACGATATCACGGCGGATAGTCGTCCCTCGGCCACTCTATATTCTTCCCTCGACGGATTTCTTGAGTTATCGGGTAGATTGCGCGCCCATTAGTTGATCAATTTAATTCTACCGTCGACCGAAATTTTAACGAGCTCTTGACCAATTTCAGAAATCTCCAATATAATATATTCCAAGCTACTATACGTTTTTACGTGGACGTCAGTTAACACTGAACAAGGTAACTTTTATATTCTACTTCCACTTCCTCCTCGTTAATTTTTTATAGACAAAATTGTATTCCCCTCTCTTTTGGTATTTTAACCCCTTACCATGTACAATGACGTGTCTGACTCGTCACAATTTCTTGATGTCAAATTTCACAATTATGAAGCCACTCACTCGTCATCAAGTCTTATAAATTAAAATCAACACATTTTTACATTCACGAGGTGTTTGTGAAACAAATCTATTTTTTTCGTGTCCATTCCTTGTACCACAAAATTAAATAGTATAAGTTTACAAAATTGTTTGAAATTAAATTGCATGTCAAGGGGTTATGAAGGGTGAGCTTCGTGGGACGATACGACGTTATTAATTCCACGCGTGGTAATCGTTTCGAAGCATTTTTGATGTTGATAATTAAAACGTTTTTATTCACAATCGAACAAAATGTAATATTCAAATGAATTTAAACGAACCAGAGGCAATCGTACAATTCCATTCCTTAGATAGTCCAAAATTAGATAGTATATGTTGGAAAAATTATTTTGAATTGAATCGTAAATCAAGGGGTTAATTGACAGTTATTATTTGTATGGATGCGTCGATTTCCAGCGAATCCATAGATAGAAATGGTGTGTATCAATATCCATCAAATAACGTTAATAAAATAGAGAGAAAGAGCAGGACGAGAATTATTACGGCTCAGGAAACTGTCGTAAAAGCTGTAGCGAACGCTCCTAAATCGTGATCTACCCGCAGAATTGCTGGTTCGAATTCTCTTGGACGATTGTTAACGCTTGTAACTATCCGTGTGGTGGAACGGAGACTAATGTGTCGGAAAAGACAGAGCGGAAACGCGTTTCGTACCCCAAAACTGGCTGGACGTGACGCTCGAGAGGGGATGAACGGACCTAGGTACATCGAGCATATCTGGGTCAAGTGGCCGCTCGTAAATCGCTGGCTAAATGAAACGTTGAAAACCGACGTAATGCATCGTGCTAGAGCGAACAACCACTCTTCATCAGGTTGCGCTGGAATGCACCCCATTACTGACCTACAAGTGTTTGTCCCTTTTTCTTAATCTTCTTAACTTTGCTGGTTTGCTCGACTAACACGAAACGTATCCACTTTGGGTCCACGTTTCAACAAAATTTGACAAAAAAGATCTTAATAAGTGACCAACGTCTTTAGAATAGGGGATTCAAGACAATTTTTTAAAATTAATCTCAATTAACAACACCATATGGGGGATTACAGAAATAAGTAATACTTAAAAGTGGAAAAGAAAGAAGACTAAGGAACACTGTTCTAAAAATTGATCCTTTGCCAGCAGAAAATAAGAATATTTTTTAAAGTTACGATCGACCTACCATATAATAATAATTTCGAATAAAGCTTAAATCACCTTGCTATAACCGCTTGCTATAACCTTGCTAATTTCTATCTTCATCATAATTCATGAAAAACTGATCTACGAGTAATTTAAGTCTCATTTTTGCGTAAAAATTAGTGGTCGTAAATCTATGTAACACAGTTGGAAACCATCGTTTATAGAGGGGCCCAATAACTAATAAGTTTACGAGACCGAATAATTTTCATACACTTACATTGCACGCGCAGAGATATGCGTTGGCTGACTGGAGGTGGAACATTGTTCGAAGCGATGCACAGGTACGCACCCATGTGCAGTCGACTAATCTTCACAATATGCAGCACCTCCCCATCCACCACGTTCACTGAAACATAAAACAAACGACGCGACATGAGCACGTCGAACAACCCATCGAATTAGCTATCTTAATACACTTAATAAAATTTAGTTTTCATTTCGACAATTCTGGGAAACTTCCTTCTGTGAAATGAATTACTACAAGCTAAAGTCATCCAAAGCTTTCATAAGAATTGCTTTTCTTCGTAATATAATTCTATGAAATCATCTTGGAACGGTGAACGTGGAATATAGATCGTTTTATTTTAAGTAGAACATCTCCCAGAACTGTGTCACCTACAATATGAATAAGAATTATTCGTAGAAGGTGATTATTAATAATTTCCATTGACGGAGATAATTTATCTAGAATTTCTTAATTTTCTATTGTGGTAAACTGTATTAATACACTCCGTCGATACTCTGTAATTTAATGGTAAATTCTCTATAAAATGAAGCAAACGATAGCAGCCTCTAAAATTTGACACATTAATATATCTATATCCAATGGCTCATTAATATCTGTCGTAGAAAGTAATTATTTATTCCATCGTACAATAACCGGTTTCACTTCCGCTCTATACGGCAACATATAATTAAATTACGGTAAACGATTTATCATTCTCCGTAGTTGCACAAACTTGCAAAACTTCCGCGTTTTCGAGCAACTTTCGACGAATTTTCGAACCACTGTTGGTCATCGGTTGCAATAAATTACACGCACAGGCAAACTGAATCGTGCATTGTTCCGTATCGATGAAACTTCGCACATTCTCTAACACCGTTGTAATATTTTGTTATTTTTAAACCTATATCGTGACTGACGTAACTTGATATTTATAGAGCGACAACTTTATCGTTACAGCAACTATTTAAAAATAATTTCATTCAGGTCTTACAAAATAAGCGTTTAATCAAAGTTAAAGTTTAAAGTTAAAATTTAAGAATAAATTCAAGAACACGTTGATTGATCAAAATGAGCGTAGTTTCGATCCGAAAATCAGACACGTTCGCGAGATATTTCTAAATGGAATAGAATCGATTCAGGGTGCTCAAAGGAGGATCTAAGCGTGTATAAGGAAAGAAAAGAAAGCAATTGAAGAGAAAAAAGAACTGGTTCGACATAAAAAAAAAGAACACAATACCGTAAGAATATAATAAAACTCGGTCCCTGGAGCAACAACATGGCTGCCTTCGGTGCAAGAATACATCCATGGTATATTCCGTGAGACGTAAAACCAGATGATTGCTGCTATGCGTTCCAATAAGAATGCAATAATAAAAGAGAGTAGTACCGGCTAGTATTTTTTATACGCGATATTATTATGCGTTCTCGTGCGTCGAGAAAGGATGAAACGTAGGAAGCGTTGTCATAAGTTCGAGTAGCTTGCAACGGTCCCGGGGGCGAATGTTTAAGAGTGATGGAAAACCGATTGAACGTTTCTCTAGATAAAGGCTCGAGCACATCGTATCGCGAGGACGTTGCTACAATTCTTCGACAGTAATGTCGAGGTAATGGGACATTGTAACAGCTCAGAATTCTTTGAGTCGAGTAATACCGTTCGATGTATCACCGTCGATGTTACGTTTCCTGCAGTTCAAAATAAAATACTCGCGCCGACATTAGATCCCTCGTTCCGCGCTTTAGCGTTCGTTATTCTCCCGACGCGCGTAGTAAATTTAGTATCGACTAAATTGTTGTTTCTTATTTTTAGCTGCTCCGTGGATTCTTAAAGGTTCTTAAGGGAGCAAAATTCAATCATCTTTATTAATTTTTTTTAACTAAATGTTACATCTAACGCTATAATTTATTTTAGCAATTTACTTAACCATCTTTTGGGAGTACGAAATAAATTTTTCAATAATTTTAATTGACTTTTCATGTTTTTATTACGCCCACAGTGAACATGTGCTGAAACATTGGCGTAGGTGATTGCAGCTCTCAAAGTTGACCAAATCAAAGAAATCAAAAAAATTTTAAGCAGAATAATTAATTGATGTTGAAAATTATGTCTACTTCTGATGTTTAATACGGATAAAAATAATAATGATCCAATCACGCGCACAAATTTAAGTAGAATCGAGACCTGGCCGATCGTGATTTTTGCAAAATCGTGTTTCGCTGTTGATCGACATTTCTTATCGTGCAATGATTGGTAGCACCCAAGCACAGGTTATCGTAAAAACGGATTTTATGGACGAAAAAGGCGGAGCATCATTCAGAGGCATTCTTTATAGCTCGTTGCAGTACGTTAGCGGCTCATAAATTTAGATAACACGCATTACTTATACGCATTGATGGTCGTGAAAACGGTTTCGAAATCGAGAAATTTTTTAATACGATTTTTTATAAATTCATTAAGGGGTTAGTAAACATTTTCAGCTTCATCTTTGCAGCCGGAACAATGTCTGCACTTTAGGGGCTTGTAAAAATTATAGAGGGAACAATGCTCTCTGTGGGATACAAAGACAAAGCAACATGCAAATCGATTTGTTGAATCGTAGAAATGTCTGACGTGACTAGGCACCCTTATCATCCTAGGAACTATCGTGCAGACGAAGGTTATGAAAGGAACGAAAGTTGCTGTCGCAGTGCGCGTTGGGGCATAAGAAGATGGTGTGAATCGTTGTTAGCCATGGCGTGCCGCGCACCAAACCTATCCATTGTTCCGCAAACAATGCCTAGCGGTGAGAGATTCCAACGGCGGGTAGCACTTTCCGAGGATTTTAATCAAGTAGTCCCGCAGGTCCTGGCGCTGGAACTACCCCCTTACCGGTTTAGCAGAAACCTTTAAAACTTTCAGTTTAATGGGGAACCACAATATGGCGCTGCCCGATGAAATTTCGCGTCGTACAAACCGCGATCGCTTTGGATAAAGGAAAACGCGAACAATTATTATTTTTTAAACTGTCTCTGCTGCTACCGCGGACCCACAATGGCCGATATTGCGCGTCAAATTAGATCCTTTCGCAAAATAACAAACTCGAGTAAAGAATCTAAAGCGGAGAGAGAATTTCAGCTGAAATTATTAAGATGCCTTTCTATGGATTTTTTCGTCATCGATATGCAAATAAAAATTACATGCAGGGACAGTTTCATTCATAAAGCTGAAAAATATTAGCAATGCTACAATGGTGATCGTCGTTCGAGTATCATGAACGATGTTAATTTTCTACCTAGCCGATATTTTTGCGAATTGCAGCGCTTTTTCTGAAATTAACGAAATTGCCATCTGACCCGGAGCTTTGTTCGAACCGGGAACTAAAATTCTGCGAATGACTACTGTTTTATCCGTGCATATCCCGATATAACTTTTCAACCCGTACAATAGCGTATAATAACTGTTCAATTTAAAGGACTTTGCGTGCAGAAACAGGGTAATTTGTTTCCCCGAAAATTGTCAAGTTTTTTAATATCCTTGGATCATTCGTTTCGAGGCGATTTATCTTTCGGTACTGGTAATTAAAATCAAAAAAGTAAATATTAAAAGCTACCGATAACTGATTATAACGTAAATAATTTAACATTGAGGAGCACGATTAATTCCAATTTGCAGCGGCGAAAAAATGTCTGGGAATTTTCGCGATATCAGGACGCTCGCGGGACGATAACACAGTGTCTTTCGATGTCCATTAGCTGGCTTAAATGTTAAGCAGTGCGATAAGGGCGCAACGTGAAAAGAACCACGGAATAAATTAGCGGCCATTCACGTCGATGCGCGGCGCACTTTGCATAACATTTTCCACGTGCTCCTTAACGTCGTAAAAATAAGCAGACAGCTTACTCGAAGACGAAGCGGGGAGTTGGCTACCTATTTGGGAATTAGTACGTGATGTATTCCGCCCCATAAGCGGCGGGTTGGACGTCGATATTTCATCCCATTCCCTTTCCTCGTATCCTTAAGTGCCCTTTTTCGCGTTATTACCGCCAGATAACCCGGCTACATTCATTCTCCAAGCGAAATCCTCGAGCCACGATCATTGCAGCTAATGTATCCGCGCGTGGCCGAATGGACAGATGGAACTCCGCGTATTGATGTACGGTTCTTCCAACTCTTCTATACTTCGGCCCAAGCGACGATTTATCTGGCCGTCCCACAAGCAACACGACTATTACGAAATATCGGCAACGAAATAGAAATATCCTCTTCTACGAACTGTTTCAACGTCCAACTATCTCAAACTGAGGCAATATTCATACGGCGCGAAATAAACATTAGGGTTTATTATGGTCACAATTAGAAAAACTAAAATCATACAGTCATAAATATTTCATTTCTATTACATTCACTGCGCCGAGGTCCGTACCAGAAAATCGTTCTAGTGACAAGATTAATCGTAATAATGTAAAAGATTAAGAGATCTCTAGCAGGAATAAGTTTATGAAGCCATTGAAACATTTCTCGCCTTTCAATTCACTTTCCAACGTCAACTGCCCTTTTGTCATTAGATTAACTGCTAGCATGTTTTAATAGAATCAAAGCGCTTCATAACGTTATTATGTGCTAAGACCCAGGTATAGGGAAATTGCTAAATTTTGTACTAGCATTATTTGAAGGTTACCATTACCTTGGAGGTTGACCTTTTAGAAACCACCCACTACACAAGATTCAGGTGATAAATGAATTAAACGTCCAAAGATTTATATTTATATTCGAGGATTCACTATTATATTCAATATTCCAAGTAACACTTATACATTTTCGGCTTTTCGACTAAATATAAATAAAATTATTGGTTATTACTGTTAATCAACTGATTGTGATTAGTGTGTACCTTTCATATTCTACAAACTATTCATTCGTCATTAAGTTGACGTGTGAAGTTGGGCATACCTGAAAGATTTCTTTCAACAAATTAAAGGACAATGTTAAGTCATAGAGGGGTTTACTGACCCAAGAGCGTACAGCATATGCTATACACCGTTGGAAAGGTCTTGCCAAGGCGAATCGACTGATACCATTTTTAACTTCGATATCAGATGGGATAATGTCGAAAAATGGCCTCAAAGTTCGAGATTTTGCGGTT